TGCTCTGTGATAACCGAGAGGGGTGGGAGGGGGTAGGAGGGAATGCATACACATGCATATGTATATATATCATATATACACATATATATAAATACAGCTGATTCATACTGTTGTATAGCAGAAACTAACACATTCTAAAAGCAATTATATTCCCATTTTAAAAATAAATTTAAAAAATGTAAAACCCATCCTTAGTTTAAAAAAACAGGAGGTGACTAGGACTGGCCTGGAGGCCTATGCTTGCCAGTAGACTTCTAGCCCCTCGTATATATATCCATAAAATTCCAGCATTTTAGAAACAAGAAAGACAACAAATACATGAAGACAACCTAAGGAAGGACCAGAACAATGTAGAAGATGGCATCGAGTGATTAAATATATGTGTGCAAATCAGATGTGCTGAGTTTTACTTTGCTATGGATTCCCAGATCCAAGATTTTGGTTTCTTATTTTTTTTTAATGAAAAGGATAAAAAACTTTTTACCAGACGTTGTAATCTTACTAAACTATTTTGATTCCCTAGGAAACAAGAATAAGCAAAACATTTCTAATACATTTAGTTTTTAAAAAATCCAAAATAATTGCTGATCTAACACCGTGTTCAGGAAACTTAAGTGAAACTCGCTTCGATGGGGAAAAATATCGCTTTGTTTTCCCTCTGAAACCAAGACTCAGATCTTAAGTGCTGGCAAGACACGTCGGGCTAAGGCACATCTCTGTACCAAGAGATATTCAGGGCTGCCCAGTGGTAGTCATTTTCCCTATCTGCTTTCTTGGACCTGTGCAGGAAGAGCAGGCAAGACTCTCCAGGGACTTCTGGTGGTCTAGTGCTTAAGAATCCACCTGCCAATGCAGGGAGCACGGATTCAACCCCTGGTCTGGGAAGTTTCCACATGCAGCAGGACGTCTAAGCCTGTGCACCCCAGCTACTGAATCTGCGCCCTTTAGTCTATGCTCTGCGGCAAGAGAAGCCCGCACACTGCAGCTTTAGAGGAGCCCCGTTCTCCACAATTAGGGAGAGCCTGGGCACAGAAACAAAGACCCCCGTGCAGCCAAAGGTAAATAAATGAATAATTTTTTTAAAAGGCTCTTCAAATAGCCTTATGCTTGGTCTTATATTCCTCTTCTTTCTTTGATATCTTTAGCCATTTTAAATGTTTATTTTATAGCTTCAAAAAGCTTTATTTGAAGTTCTTGGAAGACAATGCTACTGTTTGCTGTGTTTTCTGGCTCTTGTTCAGGGTGTATCACCCACGCAAATGTTTCATAACTTTCCCCTCATAAGTTCATCTTCAGTGGCATTTTGTCCTTTGAATTCCCCATCAACCCAACCTGAGAAAGTAACTTTTAGCTTCAGGGATTATCCCTATCACAGAACCATGTTTAATTATCTCTCAGTTTTGGAATCCAAGACAGTGAGGGGTACATAAATCAGAATCCACAGTCATAGGAGGCAAAGGCAATAACTCCAAACTCTCAGAAAAAGCTTTTTATTTTTTTAAGAAAACCCACTAACTACATAGGATAAGGTGAGCTTCTCCCTTTTTCATTTTCACCCCGTGTCTCCGGGAGAATTTTTTCAGTGCACAGTTTGACAGATGTTTAACCCTTCAGAGGTCTTGGCTTTATGTGAGGATATTGATCCAACTCAGGGGTTGGGCTCCAAGCTGTCTCTTGCCCTGAATGTCTTCTAGTCCCAATGACCAGCAAATCTTGCCAGAGTGCTTGCTTTTGCTTCGGTGTTTTATTCTTCTTTATTCTTTATTCGGTGTTTTATATTTTTCAGGTTCCCAGTCTTATGCCCCATAAGAATCTTGTTTCCTTAGCAGCTCAGCCATTCATTTAAAAGAATTCTTAAATGTAATTTAATATTTTATGCAGATTTTCTAAGTGTGCTAGCAGGAGTTGTCTTGGGTTATCTATGCTCCCAGTGTCCGCCTCTGGGACACTAAGAGATGAGTAACATCTCTTAGGTGTGTCTTAGAAATGCAGAATCTCAGGCCTCACCCAAGACCTGATGAATCAGAATCTGCATTTTAACAAGACCCCTCAGTAATTTAAAGTTCAAAACGCACGTTGCCAAATAATGGCTAAGTCTGATCACAGCTCTCCTCCAGGAAATACAGCAATGTCTGCCCATCACCTGTAGTGATGTTTGGATATATGTGTCTGTCACTCTGCTGGAGCTGTATCCTTCCACTCTTTCTCTGCCTCAGCCTCCAAGGTACACACAAAGGCTGCTTCCTCTGGACTGTCCTTCCCACTGCCAAGTCAGGTGCCCTAGTAGCTTCTCCCTCAGCTACTTCTATTACATATTGCAAGTCCAATAACTCTCTGTCCAGTTACCTGTAAGACAGGGACTGCCTTTCCTCCATCACTGAACTGGCCACATTGCAGGATTTGATAAACCCATAAGTAAAATGATATTGCATTATCTAGTGAATTTATGTAATGACCTATTGAGTCAAATGGGCTCCCCAGGTGGTGCTAGTGGTAAAGAACCTACCTGCCAATGCAGGAACCAATGCAGGCTCGATCCCTGGGTCAGGAAGATTCCTTGGAGAAGGAAATGGCAACCCATTCCAGTATTCTTGCCTGAAAATCCCATGGACAGAGGAGCTTTGTGGGCTACAGTCCATGCGGTCACAAAGAGTCAGACATGACTGAAGTGTGCCTTGAATCAAATGCTTCACTATTTGCTCAGCAGGTAAAGAATCCTCCTGCAATGCAGGAGACACAGGAGACATGGGTTTGATCCCTGGACTGGGAAGATCCTCTGGAGGAGGAAATGGCAACCCAGTCCAGTATTCTTGCTGCAAAATCCCAAGGACAGAGGAGTCTGGCGGGCTACAGTCCATGGGGTTGCAAGGAGTCAGACATAATTGAGCACGAGCACGAGTTATTGAGTCAAAAAATATAGAGCAGAATTGTGGAGAGTGATGTACAGAAGAGCCTCAAATTAGGTGATCCTCTGTGGCTGATTGCAGAATAACTACTTTGTCAATCCATTCATGTCCTATAACTATATCCAGGAAAAGTAACTCTGAACTTCATATGTGCTTAATACATATTTACTTATAAATATCTTTAATCTTTTCTTCTTCAATATACATTTGAGAAGGTGTGAAGGGCTGGTGTGCATGTAGTTGGACTAATGCTGCTTCCATATTGTTCTAGTTTAATATGGCTCAAAGGGCACGTGGATCTTCAGGAAGAAGGAAAGGAGGACAGAAATTTCCGCCTCTCAAACATCCCACCTCTTCTTCATGTGTCTCCAAGAAGACCCTCTGTTTAACGAGTCCCCATCTAGCTGCATCTTTCCAAGAACGGGCTATGAAGAGAGTGGTAAAGATTTTCTTCCTTTCTTTCCCTGCTCCCCTTCCTCCCTTTCTTTCTATTATTTCTTATTTTAACTAAAGCATAGCCTAAAGCCTCCCAGAAAAGATTTCTGTTTTGTTCTCTAATTTGTGTTACAGCTTTTCATCAGGGTATTGATTTTGATTTTAACCTCCACTGAAAATGAAGTTAGACATTGCTAGCTGTGAGCTTTTGCCATCCGTGGAGCCCTCAATGATGTTTTAATGACTCTTTTGCAATGAGGTAATAGTCCTGTCTTCCTCCTCTGGGGAAACGCACTCTCTGACTTTCAGAACCCAGTGTCTCACAATGGATTTGCTTCTTCTCATTACCCTTATCCCGTCACCCCGTTTTCACTCTACTGCTCGGCATTCTAACTCGGCGTGCCAAGGCAAATAAATAATACTGCAGAATTCCCAACGGCTCTAGCCTCATCACCCTACAGCCACCACATCGAGACACGCCATTCACCAGACATAGAGCATCTCACTTTTTCTTTCTTTCTTTAATTTCCTGAAGGTCTCTGGCAGTTCAGTCTGGAAAAGCCAAAGCTCTTTACCCCGAAGACATTGAGTCATTTTTTAAACTCCCCTTTCAGATGGTCTCCAGCAAGAAATGGAGCAGAGGTGGGAGGCAGGGAGGGGGCGTGACTCCAGCTGTTGGAAGCAGTCTTGGCTGGGAGAAGGATTTCTAATCCCACTGCTGCGCACTGGGAGCGCTGGAGCTGTCAACATCCGCCGAGCAGTTCCACCCAAGGCCCAATACCCACTGCCCCCGCTCCCCCTGAACAGTTCTCATCCTTGTTTCTCCATGCAGCAGGATCCCTTCTGCTTCTCTATGCAGCAGGATCCCTTCTGCAGGGGCCGGAATGCATACAACAGGAGGCGCTGTCAGTAGCGGTAGAGCCTGCCCCTTGGAATCACGTCTCTCTCACCTCCGGCAGCCTCATGCCTCAAATGTGGGAACCCACTGCAAACCCTGCTGTGTGAGCCCTTTGATTGGATTCAGATGGCTTCCCTTTCCTTCCCTCCATTACGTGAAGGGTGCTGCGCTGTGCTGTGCTAAGTCACTTCAGTCGTGTCCAACCCTTTGGGACCCCGTGGACTGCAGCCTGCCAGGCTGCTCTGTCCGTGGGGATTCTCCAGGCAGGAATGCTGGAGTGGGTTACTCCCCCGCCCCCCTCCTCCCGCACGCCCTCCTCCAGGGGATCTTCCCCACGGAGAGACTGAATCTGTGTCTCTTACCTCTCCTAATTGGCTGGCGGGTTCTTAACCGTTAACGCCACCTGGGAAGCCCTGTGTGAAGGGTACTCTTTCTGAAAGGCAGATTAGCCGGTCAACCACTCTGACTACAGTCGACTCAAATCTCAAGAGATTCTCATTAAAAAACCCTCAGCGGCTTTGGAAGGTGCTACCAGAGGGTTGCTATTGTGGTCCGTTTTCCTTTCCTGAAGCCTGGACCAGTGGCTGTGCTCAGGGTCTAGTGCTGCCCGGCTGTGAGGGGCCCCCGCCAGGCCCCGAGGAGTGACACCTTACGTCTACTAAGCTCAGCCTTCCAGATTGTATCAGCCGTTCGAGGGCACTGGCGATGTGAGGGCTGGGGATATGAGGGCACCAGTATCTGCATTTTGCCCCTTCTTTCAGCTGCTTGCTCTCTCACCACCGCGACAACCAGCGTCTCCACCAGGAGGCTCCGGAGCGGACCGCGCCTCGAGAGGAAGAGCTGTGTGACCCACAGCCAGGACGCCCAAGCCTCTTCCAGCAGAGCGGCGACGCCTCAGCTGAAGGTTCCACCGCCAGCAACAGATGTGAAACTCATCCCTTCCCTCCGGGGTCCAACAAAAGAGCCAAACCCCCAGAAACCGCGCTGTGTTTTCACCCGGCCCAGCTCGAATAGGCTGAGGGCTGTAAAATAGAGAATATAGTTCCCATTTGTCTTCTCCGCGAACCTCTCTGACAGGGGGAGAGATCCCTCCACCTCGGCAAAGGCAGAGAGAAAAAAGGGAAAATGTGGTTCTTTATTTGGCAGGTTCTGCTACAGCCAAGTGGCTCCCTGCTTTAAGAACTCTGGGTCAGTGAGGAAGAGGAGAGAAAAAACATTAATTGAGCATATCCATCAGATGCTGATTCGACATTTGCTATGTGCCAGGCAGTGTGCCTCATGGGGGTGTTTCTAAGACTTCATGTGACTTTTAAATTTAACCCCCAAAGTACACTCTGTTCTAGTCTCAGGCAAGGATGGTTCTATTCGCCGGTTGTTCCAGATGAGGAAACTAAGGCTCTTTAGGCCACGCTGTGTGTAACAGAGCAAACATCTGAAGCCAGGCATGTTTTGATTTCAAAGTCTGTAATTTCTAGCTCACTGAGATGCTCTTATGGCAACATAACAGAATGATGCCGAAAAATTTATATTACTCTTTTACTGAGTTGTAATGTCAGTTAAATACTACAATCATGATGGTGACATAATCCAATAAAAAAAAAAGCTAGTTGTAAAAGTCATGGACAGTTACGTGATCACTAATTACCATTTTATTATTAGATATAAAAATAAAAGAAAGAGTAATATTCCATGGTGTATATGTACCACAGCTTCCTTATCCATTCGTCTGCTGATGGGCATCTAGGTTGCTTCCATGTCCTGGCTATTATAAACAGTGCTGCGATGAACATTGGGGTGCATGTGTCTCTTTCAGATCTGGTTTCCTTGGTGTGTATGCCCAGAAGTGGGATTGCTGGGTCATATGGCAGTTCTATTTCCAGTTTTTTAAGAAATCTCCACACTGTTCTCCATAGTGGTTGTACTAGTTTACATTCCCACCAACAGTGTAAGAGGGTTCCCTTTTCTCCACACCCTCTCCAGCAGTTATTGCTTGTAGACTTTTGGATAGCAGCCATCCTGACTGGCATGTAATGGTACCTCATTGTGGTTTTGATTTGCATTTCTCTGATAATGAGTGATGTTGAGCATCTTTTCATGTGGATTCACCATGGACTATTACTCAGCCGTTAAAAAGAATTCATTTGAATCAGTTCTAATGAGATGGATGAAACTGGAGCCCATTATACAGAGTGAAGTAAGCCAGAAAGATAAAGAACATTACAGCATACTAACACACATATATGGAATTTAGAAAGATGGTAACGATAACCCTATATGCAAAACAGAAAAAGAGACACAGATGTACAGAACAGACTTTTGGACTCTGTGGGAGAAGGTGAGGGTGGGATGTTTGGAGAGAATAGCATCAAAACATGTATATTATCTATGGTGAAACAGATCACCAGCCCAGGTTGGATGCATGAGACAAGTGCTCGGGGCTGGTGCACTGGGAAGACCCAGAGGGATCAGGTGGAGAGGGAGGTGGGAGGGGGGATCGGGATGGGGAATACATGTAACTCCATGGATGATTCATGTCAATGTATGACAAAACCCACTACAATACTGTAAAGTAATTAGCCTCCAACTAATAAAAATAAATGAAAAAAAATAAATGAAAGAATATAAAACCGCATTAATGATGTTTGTTGTGTATCGAGCATCCTTGGTGCTTCCATGATAACTGGGAAGAACCAAGGACCCAGCCTCATACATAACAATAAAATCACATCACAGAAAAGGACAATCAAATCAACAACTTCACTCTTTTGGATCCTAAAAATATGAATATTTCTAATTCTATGAGTAATTAATTATGGAATCTTGATACACAGTTTTAAAATCTTTAACTGAAGATGGCATAGAATACTCATTTCATTAACCAAATAGTTAATGAGAACCTACTCAATATCAGAAATATGGAGTTGGCCTTGGAAATACAGAGAATCAAGATATTCCTGGTAGCCTGAGGGGAATCATAACTTATAAAAGGTTTAGCAACAAATTTTCTTTCAATAGTCTTTAATAAATGTGCTCCAATTGGGTCTTGGTTTGTCACAAGAAATTTGACCCTTGGCAAATCAAGGTAGCATGCTAGAAAGGCTATCACATTGGGGTTTTAGACTGTGGACCTCAATCCTCACTAGTCTTCAATAAATGGTGATGGTTCTAGTCCTAAAAGTTGTTGTTCAGTCGCTAAGTCATGACTGATTCTTTTGAGACCTAGTGGACTGGAGCTTGCCAAGTTCCTCTGTCCATGGGATTTCTCAGGCAAGAATAGTGGAGTTGGTTGCCATTTCCTTCTCCGGAGGATCTTCCTGACCCAGAGACTGAACCTGTGTCTCCTGCATTGGCAGGCAGATTCTTTACCACCGAGCCACCAGTGAAGCCGCAATCCTAAGGGTAAGTTCCATTTATATTTTCAGGTTATAGTTTCCTCTCCTATAAATCGAGAGGTATGGGTTGATAGGAATGTACTCTTAGAACTCTGGTATCTATAATTCTCTGAATCTGTATTTTTAAATAGTCAGGCTCACCCCTGGAAGATACTAAAGACTGTGTCATAATCAGTCACCTACATCGGGGAAAGAAAAGTAAGTTAAGACTAATTTTTCTACTGCAGCTACTATTCCTAACAGATAATAGAATTTATTCCCTCCTCTCTGCCCATTGTACCTCCACAAGGCTGTTAACCAGATTTCAATTTGACAAGTTTAAAATTCCACATCATTTCTTGTTCACCCTAAGCTCAAGTAGCTAATGAGCAGAAAAATGACCAGAAGACAGGAAAGAGGATAAAAAACAAATGACTAGGGTGCTAACAAAGAAAGTGACAGCTGAGAACTGGCTGCCACTTGTTGACCTTATCAGGGAGCTTCTTGAATAAATACATATGGTTTAATTTTTAACAAGATTTATTTTTCAAGACCCTCACCCACCAGGATAGGAAAAAAATGGTTTAACGTGATCCTTTATTAAGATGGTTTCAGGCATTCAAAATCAGAAGAAAGGAAGATGAAGCATTAAAAAAAATAAATCTGAGCAATTTTTAGGAAGACAGCATACAGGGAAGGTTCATGCTAAGTCTGTTCCTGGCATGAACTCAACCTGCTGTCCTCTGTAACAGTCCTGGGTACAAGCCTGAAGGTGGCTCCTATCAATGACACCCAGAACACCCTCGGTGGGAATGTGGATCCAATGGAGCCTCCCTACTGCTGGTATTGCCCCTGGTAGCTACCCCATCACTCATGGCACTGCCTCATAATGCATCACCGGTCGAGGTTACTAGCTCTCCGAGCACCTGTCCTTTACTCTAATTGTCTTTTGGTTCCCTACATCCCGAAGCTGTAATTCTACACAATGCAGTTCTTCCCAAATCTGCACGCCCCACCTCCCAGCCCCGCAGAGTGACTCTTCAAGGACCTGTAATGTTGTAATGTTAGAATGCTAGCTCTGGACACACACACACACACACACACTTTTATTTTCCACAGGGAAGCTGAGCTTCCAAGACACAGAGCGCCTTGACTCAGTCAGTGCACTGCCCGCCCAGCGACCACCCCACCTTGTGCATCTCCTGAGGACGGTGAATTAAAGGAGCTTCTTGGAGATGCAGCCTCATTGCTCAATGGAATTCCACTAGGGAGGCACATGGCGCTGCACAGCATCACACTCCTAGCCCCTCCCCCCTTCTCTCTTTTGTTGCTGAAAAGAAGCAGCCACAGCCTCCCGTGTGCCCCAGGAAGTCTTCCAGGGAAACATGAAGGCTGTGTGGTCACTTCATAAAGGCCATGTCTAAACCTGGACGCTAAAGGACAAGGACAGAGAGTGGTAGAAAGAGCGTGGTACGGACATAGAGAAGGACATAGAGAATAGACCGGTGGGTGCCAAGGGGGAGGGGGTTGAGGGAGGGAGGGAGAGGGAGGTTGGGGTGAGCAGATGTAAGTTCTCATACATATAATGGATAAACAACAGGGTCCTACTGTTGAGACTGTTGAGACAGAGAACTACATTCAATATTCCATGATAAACCATGTGGAAAAAATATTAAAAAGGAATGTATATACAAGTATAACTGAATTACTTTGCTGTATAACTGTAATTAAACATTGTATATCAACTACATTTCAATAAGAAAAAAGTGTGGTGCTTGGCAACAGCAGGTTACATCACTCCTATTGTTGTTTTGATAACTTTGTATAAGTCATGCAAGCATCTTAGTGTTCTAAGGTTAAACTTGGTATATGAAAATCATTTGCAAACAGTGAATGTGTTAGGAAGAGTGGATTAATTAAGTGAAAGCTCCACTTTTCTACTTTTCTGTTTCTCTACCACCCCTCTCCAGAAGAGCTTCTGAACCCAAGGAAAAAACTCACATCTCTTGCATCTCCTGCATTGGCAGGTGGAGTCTTTACCACTAGCACCACCTGGGAAGCCATATATATATATATATATATCTTCCCTGATGGCTCAGAGGGTGAAGAGTCTGCCTGCCTGCAATGCAGGAGACCTGGGTTTGATTCCTGGGTCAGGAAGATTCCCTGGAGAAGGAAATGGCAACCCACTCCAGTATTCTTGCCTGGAGAATCCCATGGACAGAGAAGCCTGGTGGACTACAGTCCATGGGGTTGCAAAGAGCTGGCTATGACTGAGTGACTTCACTTTCCTCTCCAAAAGGAACAAAAAAAGCAGATGTGGGAACAAGTTCAAGGCATGGTCCTGAATGCTGTATCATCCCTGAGTTTGTTATGCAAACTAATTTCAAAATGGACCCGGAATTGTAGAGAAGTGTGCTTTTTAATCATAGCATTTAGTCAAATGCACTCTCACCATCATTCAGATTTGTGCAGCTCTTGATAGCTTACAGAGAGCTTTTTCTTTAATAAATTGCAGTCACAGCATAATTCAGTGAATCTGGGCTTGAAACCAGATCTTCTCAGTCTTATTCTAGTACCTTTATCAGTTCATCAGTATCTAAAAATTGTGGTGGGAAACTGAAATAGATTGTAAAATAGAAA